GTTGCTGTGTGTATCAGTAGTTCATTTCCTTTTATTCCATTGTGTGGATGGACCACAATTTGTTTATCCATGGCCTAGCTGAAGGACATTTGATTGTTTCCAGTGTTTGATGACTCTGAGTAAAGCCACCAAAACGTTTACCTACAGGCTTTTGGGTGGACATGTATTTTCATTTCTCTTGAATACATGCCTGAGTGGGATTCCTGGGTTGTGTGGTAAGTGTATGTTTAACTGTAGAAGAAACTGCCAAACTGTTTTCCAAAGTGACTACCATTTTGCATCAGTGTATGAGTTCTAATTGCTCTACTCCTTGTTAGCATTTGATAAAGCTTGCATTATTATTTCTAATATGTTAACATTCTAATAGGTATGTGGAGGATTCTCAGTGGTTTTAATTTGTATTTCTCTAATAACTAGTAATATTGAGGATCTCTTCTAGTGATTCTTATTTAGTTGTGAAAGATTATAAATATATTCTGCTTGCTACCCTTAATATGTATCTTCAGATATTTTCTTTTAGTCTGTAGCTTGTCTTTTCATCTTCTTTTTCTAAAAATATATTTTATTGACTTTTTACAGAGAGGAAGGGAGAGAGAGAGAGAGAGTTAGAAACATCGATGAGAGAGAAACATCGATCAGCTGCCTCCTGCACACACCCTACTGGGGATGTGCCCACAACCAAGGTACATGTCCTTGACCGGAATCGAACCTTGGACCCTTCAGTCTGCAGGCTGACGCTCTAGCCACTGAGCCAAACCGTCTAGGGCCGTGGTCGGCAAACTGTGGCTCATGGGCCACATTCGGCTTTTTGGCCCCTTGAGTGTGGCTCTTCCTAAGCCTTAGGAGTACCCTAATTAAGTTAATAACAATATACTACCTATATAGTTTAAGTTTAAAAAATTTGGCTCTCAAAAGAAATTTCCATCTTTGTACTGTTGATATTTGGCTCTGTTGAGTAATGAGTTTGCCGACCACTGGGCTAGGGCATCATCTTCGTAACAGTGTCTCTTAAAGAGTAGATTTTTATTTTTGGTATGTTCAGTTAATTTCTTTTTTTTTTTAAGAAAAGGAAGCAGCCTCAGTGGTTTTAAACAAGGAGACACTTGGTACCTCTTCCTCAAAATACTCTTACGTACTGTATTAACTCTCATTCTTCCTAGTTTACACTTAATATTGTGTCATCTATTTGGTTAAAAATTTAAGACCTTTTTCTTATTATGTCAAGAAAAATCTAGGTCACTGGAATAAATTAAAATGACACCTGAGCCTGTTTTTCTCCATCCCCCAATAGTTTACTCTTTAACCTTCAGTTTGGCAGGGGTTATGGTTATTTTTAGAGTACAGGCAGTAGAGCTAATCAAATTAAGCTTCCCTGGCTACCTGGGGCAATGAGCTCATCAGCTCTTCCAAGCTCAGATTGGTTTATTCTGGACTAGATTTTACATGGAAATCTGTCAAAGTAAAACTGGATTTGTTGGCAGTATAGTGCATTAAAGAATGAAGAAGGGCCCTGGCCGGTGTGGCTCAGTGTAGAGCGTTGGCCTACACACCAGAGTCTCGGATTCAGTTCCCAGCCCAGGTCAGGGTGCGTGTAGGAGGCAACCAGTCAGTGTTTCTCACATCGATGTTTCTCTCCCTTCCCACTGTCCTTTTCCCCCTCCCCTCTCCTCCCCTCCCCTCCCCTCCTCTTCCTCCCTCCTTCCCCTTGCTAAATTCTATGGCCCCTAAAATGTGACCTTTAGAAGCTATGTGCCTATGTCAACTTAGTGATGAGAGTTAACATAAGCATTCACAGGGTTTTCTTTGTTTCTGATTTAGCACTAAATTCTGTTAACTTTTTTCCTCAGAGTTTCTTCTTGTAAGAACCTTAAACCGATTTCCCCAAAAGATGAGGTCTGTAACCTCTGGGTATGGGTTGAACCTCATGGCTCTCCTTTACCCGCGTCTCAGAGCTAAGCCGGCACTGGGCTTTGGTTCCTCCAGGTCATGGAGGCTGGGAAAGCCTCTAGAGCAGCGGTTCTCAACCTGTGGGTCGCGACCCCTTTGGCAGTGAAACGACCCTTTCACAGGGGTCGCCTAAGACCATCCTGCATATCAGATATTTACATGACGATTCATAACAGTAGCAACATTACAGTGATGAAGTAGCAACGAAAATAATTTTATGGTTGGGTCACAACATGAGGAACTGTATTAAAGGGCCAGAGGTTGAGAACCACTGCCCTAGAGCCATTATAAGTCTAAAGATCAGGCAGGCTGGGCTTCTGTAGAGGTGGATGAGATTCAGTTTTGAGGAAGGTTCTCGAACTGCTTTAGTCTTTTCTGGGAGTAATAGTGTGGTGGGAAGTGTAGCACGGTTGACAACTTTGATTCTAGAGGTGAGAAAATACCAGATCTGTTCTCAGTTGGCCATAAGGTATACTTATGATCTTAGTTTTTAATCTTCACAGAGTAGTGCAGTTATTTTCCTCACTTTGTAGGACTTTTACAATTAATGTAATTAATTAAAACCCTAGGTGGGGAAGATATTCTATAATATCACTGAGATATTAAAGAATATAAACAGGGACTGCTATGAGGGAAAAACAAGTGTTGTGTGAAGAATGCTGTACAAAAATATGTCATCGAAGTAGGAGGAGGAAAACAGCCTGCTCTGCAAACAGCTCTCCACTGTTTTTCCTTTGTGGCTTCACAAATCTGTGTTTTATTGGCTCTTTCATCCTCACTCTTCCAGGTGTTCTCCCCTCAAATTCAGCTTCAGTCCTGCTCTTGCATTATTTTCACTTCCCCGCTCTGGCCTACTATGAGCAAGCTTTGGGCAGCTGTCTCTTGGCAGAGGACACTTTTGCAGTAACTTGGATTTCTATAGAGGATAATAGGGGATAAGGTTAAGGATGGGGCTGCCTCTGGGATCATTGTTATGGGAATGAAAAGGCTGTTGAAAGATTAGAGGCCAGTGTGCTTGGGTACAGGACTGGAGTCATAATCATACTTTGTCTTTTATTACCATCGCCTTTTGTCAAGGCGCACTGAAAGGGCTTAACAAAATTCTGGGCTGAATAATACTTTTCTTTACTCTTTGGAATTTGCTCGAGGTGGGAGTGAGACCCTGAAAAAATAATGTGTTACAGTGGTATAAAAGGAAAAAAGCTAGGCACCCTGATTCCTAGTTATATTTTGCTAAAAAGACAAATCTGTTGAAAGTTGGTGGGATTTTGAAATGATGCTTGTTTTGAAATGGACTGAGATGGTTTAATACAAGTGTTGCCCTTTTCTTCCCCAGCTTTGTATTTGGTGACTATCATTAGTTGTAAGAGGAGGGAAAACCCTTTTACATTCTTTCTTAGAGGTGGGGGGAGGGAGGGCCTCCGAGTTCTAACTCATCTCTGCTTCTTACAGTAATTAATACTGTATTTGCACCTATAAGTGTGAAGGGAGACATCTGAGTGAACATAATGCCCAAGCTCTTACCCTACCTCATGAGCTTGATTTCTTTTATCTCTTTGTAAAAACCAAACAAAAACATTTTCATTGATTTTTAGAGAGAGAGGAAGGGAGAGGGAGAGAGAGAAACATCATTGATCAGCTGCCTCCTCCCCCGCCTCCCCTTGGGATTCGAGCCTGCACCCTGGGCATGTGCCCTGACTAGGAATTAAATCAGTGACCCCTTGGTGCATGGGTTAACACTCAACCATTGACCCACACCAGCCAGGCGCTTTCATCTCTTGGTTAGTGTCCAAAATTATATAAAGAGTCTGACCCACCTCTTCATGTTGTGAAGACAGTGTAGTATAGAGTTTGTAGATACATAAGTCTAACATTTATAACAAGATTTTTGCCTAGAGGGCAATGCTGAAGCTAGCTCTTTGTATTGAGTTAAGGCTCTCTGCTTATAATATACTGTTACAGAAAAACCGGAGAAGAACCAAGCAACGCTTAGAGAGATGGAGTTACATTTATTGTTATTACGCGTGGGCCCAGAGGAAAATGTCTCTAGAATTCTGGGTCCAATCACACAGGAAGTTTCCTGTATTTATACCTTTTTACCCTCTTTGTCTCCCAAATAAGGGGTTTTCCGGTCCCCTATTCTGGTCAAGGGAACATTGCAGGCTCGATCCCCCAACCCTGGTTGGGGCTAAGCGGCCCTTTGCAAGTTCTTAAAGGGCCCTATGTGCTGGCGCTTTGAGACCTCGACCAAAGGCTTGGCCTGATGCCAGCACTGATAACTTCGTCTGGGGAAGGTTTAATGGCCTCTCTGAAATAGGAGTAGTCTTATTTTCCTTATTATTTAAGCCAGCAAGCATTTACAGAAGCCAGAAATAGCAGGGTTAAAATTTCAAAAATCAGTTTTTATATAAGATGAATGCTTCAATACTAGAGACCTGATGCATGAAATTTGTGCAAAAGTAGGCCTTCCTTCCCCTGGCTGCTGGGACTGGCCACTGGACCCGGGCTTTCCTCGCAGAGGGAGACCCTGCCCACCCACCGCAGCCTGCCAGTTGGTGGCCTGGGCCTCCCTCTGTGGGGCGATCATGGGGCGATGGCCGGGCTGGACCAATCTCATCGCACCTGCCTTGGCTGGCCTGGCACCAGTGGGTGTCAGAGTGTGGTCCTGGATGGTCCAGATGGTCGTTACGCTGTTCAGCTGTTCAGTCGGTTTGCATATTATGCTTTTATTATATAGGATATCACTTGATATATCCCTACAGTTTCAAGTTTATTTCAGTTCCCTCTTTCCCATCTGAAAAATACACTGCCAGTCACTCAGTAAGGTCAAGAGATTGCAGTTGACTTCTCAAAGATATGTCTCTTTATGAATTTAGGCATAGGGGGAAAATCTGGTGTGATTTCAGTAGCTGAGAAGCCCTATTGAGCACACACCAAAAAAAACCCCATTTTTATAAAAATGACAAAGGTGCCCATTGTTAAATCTCCTTGTTCCTTTTATCGTCTTTACAAGATTGTTTTCTAATTGTTATTTTTCCCCCTTCCAAATCCAGGCTGGCTACAATAAACATCAATCAAGATGTCCAGAAAAGGGAGCAGCACAGATGGCAAAACAGACTTAGCTAATGGTAAGGAGCCAAATTGAAGGTGAAGCTATTTTTGTTGTATCACCTGAGGTTCTCCTCCCCCGAAGAGAGTGGAGACATGGATTTTAGTGGAGGGAAGGAAATCTTTCCTAGGAGTGAACCCTTCTTAAGTTGTTTTGAGTACAGAAAACTACAGGGTTGAAATGCCTTGGACTGTCTGACACTTTTGCTCTTTCAACTTTTATCTGATTGTTTTCAAAAGATCAATTATAATAGAGTTGTGCCTCTAAGAGGTCAGATGGTTTGGAATTCTGAAAGTTTGTAAGGGTGGATAAAACCTAGGAAATGCTCTTTTTTTTTATAATATATTTTATTGATATTTTACAGAGAGGAAGGGAGAGAGATAGAGAGTCAGAAACATCGATGAGAGAGAAACATCGATCAGCTGCCTCCCGCACATCTCCTACTGGGGATGTGCCCGCAACCCAGGTACATGCCCTTGACCGGAATCGAACCTGGGACCTTTCAGTCCACAGGCCGACGCTCTATCCACTGAGCCAAACTGGTTTCGGCAGGAAATGCTCTTAATAAAGGAGAAAAAGAACATCTAGGTGGTGGTGGGAATAAGAGAGTTGTTGGGAAGGTGAGGTTGTGCAGTTAGAATGAGAAGTCTCTTTTCATGGTAGATCATAGTTTAATAAAGATACTAGATAAGAGATGAAGATATAACCTAAACCGACTGGAATTGGGGTTTTCTTCCTGCTTTCTTTCCATTCATCCATCCATCCTTCCTTTCTTTTGCCAGTGCAGCCAAGTGGCTCTAGTGCAGGTTTGAAGACAGGATGTGAATATTCTGATAGAGTTAGCTAACTGCCTGGGTTATTCAACCAATGCTTTAACCTTGAGCCAACTTCTAAACTAGGGAAACGTCCATCAAATGGATATAGTAGTTGGGCACCACAGTGTCCAGCATTCCTCAGCACCTTGCAGGTCAGGATTATAGGCTAGAATCTATTTGATGTGATTGGCAGAGTAATGAAATCGATGAGGGGAAAGTGAGATTTTTCAACATGTTGTTTTATTGCCCCTTTTTTCTTTTCTTACCACTGTGGTTCATATTATTCATTGGGCTTAGTTGCAAGACACATCAATCTAGAAGGGTTTGAGGTATACAATTGATTTGGAGTTTTGCCATTAGCTAGATCAGGGATTGACAAACTACGCCCTACAGGCCAAGTCTAGCCTGCCACTGTTTTTATAAAGTTTATTGGAACACAGTCATGCCCCATCCATTTACATAGTATTTATGATTGCTTTTGTGCTACAGCAGTGGAGTAGTGGTGACAGATATCCATATGGCCTATGAAGCCTTACATTTTTACTGTCTGGCCCTTGGCAGAAAAAAATTTGCTAGCCTATTGACTGTTAGTGTCCTCTTTCTGAGCCTGTGGTATGCTCTGACCTTTATGTTGATGTGATAGAAGAGCCTCAAAATTGTCTTAATTTTTTAATCATGATTTTAACAATAAATGCTAAGCATTTGGCCTTTTATTTTTCCTTTTCCACAGAAGTGATAGGTATGATATTTTATTCCTTCTCACCGCTCCAAATCTTAAACCAATTGCATTTCAAAAACCACACTATTAATCTTTCTCAGTGTATGTAGCAGTTCTGGCCATTGTAGTTTGAGGAGCAAATTGCTACACTGTCCCCTTTATCATCAAGTTCCTAGTAACCTAGTTGTTTTCACACTGAGTTCTTAGTTGAGGTGCTTTTTGAAAAGAGCTGTTTATGTCTCCCAACTTTCTGACACTACTTGAACCAAAGCACTTACATTATCAGTTTTCTGTATTGGGTTTTGTCTAAGAGTTCATTGGAAGGGGCAGGGGGAGTCCATTGCTACAAAGATTTTCAGAAATTAGTGCTCTAATCTAGATGAATAAACAGTAAAGTGCTCCAATCCTTTGAATTTTTAAACATTAGTGTGGTATTAGAGTTGAAAAGCTCATACCAGAATCACCCATAGTTGGTCTCCCTTTCCTAACAGCCTTTATTTCTGGCAAGATAAAATTTCTATTTAAGAAAAGAAGGCTGTGAGCAGTGTTTAAAGTCCTCAGTCCCCCTTCCTTCACACCTTCACCTTAGGTTGGAAGTTGTGGCTGTAGAACATTGCCAAGTGCTTATTGGAATACAATTTAGTTGCTTTTCGATAGAATACAGTGTCTAATTGTAGGGGATTATATCACTCAATATGACACAGTTTTATAACTACCAACAGGGCGGGCCTAGAAGATGGTGAACTTGCTTTTCAGGTATCAATGTAGTAGCTCTTCTTATCATGTTTATGTATGCTTCCTGATAGAACTTTGTCTCAAACAGTTTGTATAACTAAAAATAGTATTAAAATTATTAAATTAATGGAAGTAAGTCAGAATACATATATTAACAAAAAGTGAGCAAGAACTCATTCAAATGATCACAATTCCCACTTTTCTACTTCTAGATTCTTAGTAGACCTTTCAGTTTAGAATTTGGGAGGTGGGAAGTAGTGGGAAATAGTCTAACTCCTTATCTACTGTCATAGTGATTTTATTCAGTTATTTCTCCATCTTTTTCTAAGAGATAGCCATGCCAACTCTTGCAGGGACAGCTACTCTTTTTCTTATATTTAGTTTATTTACTGTAATTAATGGATGCCCATCCAGCAGAACTGAGCCTAAGGTATCAAACATACTTTCCATACAGTTTGCCAATGCTTTGCTTCGTGAGAATTTATTGTACTCTTAGGTTCTCCATTTCTTCAGTTCTGTTGAAGTAAGTACTCTTATTTGGGTGTGGCTTTGATTTTAGTTTTTTCAATTTCTTATCCAAGATTCCCTCTCAGAGAAAACTTTGACCAAAGTTGGTTTCTGGGTCTTTTGATGTGACAATTTCTTAGACTAAGGCAGAGAAATGCTTCTAATCACTATCCTATTTCCTTCTCTGTCCCCCCTCTCAACTTCCCATTTTTCATTTACATGCAGGAAGCATGTCTAGCAGTCCAGAGGAGATGTCTGGTGCTGAAGAGGGGAGGGAGACATCCTCAGGCATTGAAATAGAGGCCTCAGACCTGAGCTTGAGCCTGACGGGGGATGATGGTGGCCCCAACCGCACCAGCACAGAAAGTCGAGACACAGATACAGAGAGCTCAGGTGAAGACAAGGACTCTGACAGCATGGAGGACACTGGCCATTACTCCATCAATGATGAAAACCAAGTCCATGATCGCTCAGAGGAAGAGGATGAGGAAGAAGAGGAGGAAGAAGAGCATCCTCGGCGTCGTGAACAGCGCAAGCGGGCCAACCGTGACCAGGACTCATCAGATGATGAGCGGGCCTTGGAGGACTGGGTGTCCTCGGAGACATCAGCCCTTCCCCGACCTCGCTGGCAAGCCCTTCCTGCCCTTCGGGAGCGGGAACTGGGTTCAAGTTCCCGCTTTGTATATGAGGCTTGTGGGGCAAGAGTCTTTGTGCAGCGTTTCCGCCTGCAGCATGGGCTTGAGGGCCACACTGGTTGTGTCAATACCCTGCACTTTAACCAGCGTGGAACTTGGCTGGCCAGTGGCAGTGATGACCTGAAAGTGGTGGTTTGGGACTGGGTGCGGCGGCAGCCAGTACTGGACTTTGAGAGTGGCCACAAAAGCAATGTCTTCCAGGTGAGGCAAGGGAGCAGAAGAGCAATTGAGAAAATTATGCATGAGTTGGACAAATCTGAGCTGTTCCCTGTAGTGAGAGCTGGTAGAAAGTTGTAGAAATTAGACATCAAACTCGGTCCTGCCTTGGCTCTCATAACGCCTTGGAGGAGTTAGTACACTGAAAGGCCTGTGGCAAGCTTTTCTTCCCTTGAGCATAAAGACTGTTGGAAGTCTCATTATAGATAGGGTGCTTAAAAATCATCAGGAAGGAACCAGATGTGCCCTGGGAGGAGGCATAAGTGTAAGAGCAGAGACTATTGAGCCAGACTGCTTGGGTTCAAATCCTAGCCCTATTCTTTATTAGCTATGTGATTTTGGGCAAGTTATTTAACCTCTGTCTTAAGTGTATTTATCTACCATATAGGTCTAATAACAGAGGGTTATGAGGATTAAATAATAGAAACTAAGCAGTTAGAATCATGTCAGGTACTTAGTAAATATTTGATATTAATTAATATTATTATTCTGTGAAGATTTTACTCATCAGTGAAATACATCATATTGGTACTGACCATTTATCTCTAAGCATGTTCTCTCCTTTCCCAACACCCCTTTAATTTACTTTGTAGCAAATTTTCCTTACTCTTCTCCCCTGGTAGGTAGAGTCCTAGTTCACCTGAGCACTTACCTGTACCACTTCAACCTTCCAGAGTCAACTGAAATGCTCTTTTATATCAGAGAATTTTTTCCCCTCTCACTCTCTTTTAACTCATGGAAGAAATTAGACTTGAACCAATTATGTTAAAGCGCGAGAGCTAGATTTTCATCTGTTGTGAAACAAAAGGGGGTGAGTTGAGGTTCTCATTTTTTTTTTCTCAAATTCACCTCCTGAATTTCTTTTGTGTGTCCCTTTTTTCATTCTTAACACCCCAGGCAAAGTTCCTTCCTAACAGTGGTGATTCTACCCTGGCCATGTGTGCCCGTGACGGGCAGGTGCGGGTAGCAGAGTTGTCTGCCACACAGTGCTGCAGGAATACGAAGCGTGTGGCCCAGCATAAGGGAGCGTCCCACAAGGTAAGTAAGTCTTTGCCCCGAAGGATGTGCAATTCAGCTCCTCTGTGGATCTCACCAAGGTCTTCTTGTATCTGTATTTAATGTAGTTACCTTCCTCCCTTCTTTTAGTCCTAAGATTTGTACATAAGAAGGGAGAGAAAGCAGCCACCATCCTAAACTTCTTGGAAGGCAAGTATTTGAGAGATCTGTAAATTTTGCGCATGCAATATTAATTGATTATACTTAACCCCTAAGCTGAACCATAGTGAGTTGGAGATCCTTGAGGTCTCCTATGCCTTCCAAAACTTTAAACTCTACTCTGATCACTATTGCTGGGAGCTCTATTTAGACCTGAGAGTATAGACCAAATAGTTATGGTGGCAGCCAGTGAGGAGCTGCTTAGTCTCAGAGTAGGTACCGTGTTCTTTGTGTCATGGAAAGACGATCGGTCTGTTCTTAAAAGCCTAAGCAAATATATAGGTGGACCTGGAGTATCCTTTTCTAGATGGCTCAGGCAATGTGAAAATTATGTATTTCTTTGAATCTTAAGTGTACCTCCAACACACTCAATAACTAATTTTTAGAACTAAGATACAGGGAAATGAAACTTGGGCACCCTTTCTCTCCCCACCTAAGGATGGGGAATTGATTTTATTTGAGAATGAGCCCTAATCTCTGATGCTTTCCTTTGGTATCACTGTCTGTTCAAATCCCTTGGGGACTTAGTTAAAATAGCAAATTACCTGTCCTTTTGACTTGTGTAGCGTAAACAAGCTGTAAGTAATTTACACAGGACAAGAGAGGGTGGGCTTATTAAATTATCACATTTCCTGGCGACACATTTTAAATGCATCCCTTCTAAAGATAAAGGGATGAACTAAATAACCTCTAATTCTAATCTTTAGACACCTCATACTTTCCCTTTTTTCTCCTACAGTTGGCCCTGGAACCAGACTCTCCTTGTACGTTTCTATCTGCAGGTGAAGATGCAGTTGTCTTCACCATTGACCTCAGACAAGACCGGCCAGCTTCGTAAGTAAGCTAGTAGTCCTTTCACAGAACTGGCTCTCTTGGCCTTGAAAATACTCCACATGGCATAGGTAATACTCAGTTCTCTGGTCCATCAGAATGGTCCCTTTGTTCCTATGAGAAGCAGATTAGGGTTTAGGAATTCCTTACTTTGTTGCTATTTGTTCCTCAGAAGTGAAGCGCCATTCAGTCTTTTTTTTCTAAAGCAGAGTTCAGTTGTCTTATTATATGCGGGCTCTAATAACTGTTGATTCTCTTGTGTACCACTCAGCTTACCCACAAGAAGCATATTACTCTACAAAGCAGCTTAGAGATATGGTCCTATGTTTCAATTTAATTACATGTATCAAAAGATGTAAACAGATGATAAATTTTGAACAGAAATATTGGTATATATAGAACTCCATCATATTACAGCTCCTTTTTACATCAGTTTGAGCTCCTGGGTAAATTATATTTTTTCAGCTGTGTGATATCATAGCATCTTGTTTGGCTCCAGGCAGTCTCTGTGTGTGTGTGTCTGTGTGTGTGTTTCTCTCACACACATGCACACACAGGAAATTCAAATAAAAAATATACAGACAAAATGCTCCCTCATGCACACCTCCCTTGGCCCCCACTTTTCTAGCTGTTGGTAATCATTGTTAACGATTTTAAATACCTTTCCAATCCTTTTTGTATACTTCTGTGTGTCTTAATATGTATACTTTTATGCAATCCTTTTTGTATACTTCTCCCTATAAGTAGGATAATTAATATAGAAACATATCTGCAGTTTGCTTTTTTCATATTATGCTGTATTTTGGAAATCTTTCCGTGTCAGACCATAAAGGCCTACCTCAATTTTTTAAGATATATTTTTATTGATTTCAGAGAGGAAGGAAGAGGAAGAGAGATAGAAACACCAATGATGAGAGAGAATCATTGATCGGCTGTCTCCTGAATGCCCCTTACTGGGGATCGAGCCCGCAACCCAGGCATGTGCCCCTGACTGGAATCGAAGCTGGGACCTTCGGTCTGCAAGCCGACTCTCTATCCACTGAGCCAAACCAACTGGGGCCCTACCTCATTTTTTAACCATGACATATACATTAGAACATGGCATACCACAGTTCATTTAACCATGACCTTGTTTTTTTTTTTTTTTTTAAATATATTTTATTGATTTTTTACAGAGAAGAAGGGAGAGGGATAGTTAGAAACATCAATGAGAGAGATCAATCAGCTGCCTCCTGCACGCCCCCTACTGGGGATGTGCCCGCAACCAAGGTACATGCCCTTGACCGGAATCGAACCTGGGACCCTTCAGTCTGCAGGCCGACGCTCTATCCACTGAGCCAAACCGGTTCGGCAACCATGACCTTGTTGATGAGTTATCTAGATTAGTTATTGTCTTGTTAGTCTTAAAAATCATAACAAATCTTGTATGTTAATACTAAAATTAAGGGATGTAGGTCACTGATTTATATAGTATACAAGTAAAATAGTATAAATTAATTTAGGGAACATACTCTTAAGGCTGATTATTATTAGACATAAGTATAGAAAAAGTTGTCTTGATTGTGGAAGAGTCTCAAAAACTACTTAAATGATAGAAATGTTTTAGACCTGCAGAAAAGAGATACTAGTTATTTATATAAACCTTCAAGAGGAGGGGGGTTGGGAACTATTTGGCTTATACTGGAAAAGGAACAGAACTGGGTCGAAGGGATCTGCCTTCCAGTGCTAGCCTGCAGTTATTTAGCGCTGAGAAAATAATTCAGTCTCTTGAACTGAATTATTTTTGTTATTTTCAGTTCTGAAGTGCTGTGATGATAATGTAACATTAGCAAGTTTTCAAGAGGGGAGGGGAAGGGCAAAGATGCAAAAAATAATATGAATTTGTTTGGTCTGCTCTGCTGAAGTGTTGTGAAGCAGCGTGAGATCTTATCCTATGGCTCAAGGTGAGAGGAAAAGTATTATTAGGCCATAAGGAATTGGGAATCTGGTTCTAGTAATGAGCAGAGTACTCAGCTTTGGCAAGTCATTGAATTTGGGATGAAATGATAGCAGAAAATCTGGCTGAGAGATGACCAATGGATCTAGACCAGTGGTTCTCAACCTTCCTAATGCCACGACCCTTTAATACAGTTCCTCATATTGTGGTGACCCCCAACCATAAAATTATTTTCGTTGCTACTTCATAACTGTAATTTTGCTACTGTTACGAATTGTAAATATCTGATATGCAGGATGTATTTTCATTGTTACAAATTGAACATAATTAAAGCATAGTGATTAATCACAAAACAATATGTAATTATATATGGGTTTTCCAATGGTCTTAGATGACCCCTGTGAAAGGGTCATTCAACCCTCAAAGGGTTCGCGACCCACGGGTTGAGAACCGCTGATCTAAATGATAGATGGGATAGGAACTAAAAAGGGGAATATAAGAGAAACTTCATGTAAGAGGATGTCCAAATTCTGGATTTGGGGAATAAGATACAGTGAGCCTTCAAAAAGGTTTTGCTTTAGGGATTGAAGAAAAGTAGAAGGCTGGAATGAGGTGGGAGGCCGAATGTGAAGGTCATGGCCAGGCACTGTTGTGTGAAGTTGGTATAGGGGAATTTTTCTTTTGTGTATATACAAGGTGGGGCAAAAGTAGGTATATATTTGTTTGTATTGAAAATAATACAATAATTAATAAATAATAATACAAGAATAAACTGTGTTTGGGGTACTTACACTGTAAACCTATTTTTGCCCTATCCTGTGTGATAGTTGAGTCTCTGGAAGCTGGTGAAATTAGCTAACATCTTAGGAAAAGAGTTGCATTTGGAGCTGTGGGTAAATATTCCTTTAGCTACTGGAAGCCAGTTTGAGATACTCCTCAAAGGAATTTTTTGGTCTGATCTGTAATTATCTTTCCATTTTTGCTGGAACATACCTGCTCTTTAAAAAGTTGTAAATTTGAAGACAAAACTTGGTGGATTTGTTTCATATGGTTTCTTTTGTATGCTGCTTCCCTCTGCCATAATTAATCTTTGTCCTCACCTGAGGATATATTCTTACTGATTTTTAGAGAGGTGAGGAAAGAGAGAAAGAGAGAGAGAGAGAGAGAGAGAGAAAACATTGATCCATTGCTTTCCATATGTGCCTTGACTGGTAATGGAACCCACAACCTTTTGGTGTACCAGATGATGCTCCAGCCAACTGAGCCACCCGGCCAGGGCTGATTAATCATTTTTATAGCATCATTACATGTTCTCCAGAGAGCTCAAGGTACTCTGGGCATTTATCCATTGGGAGAGAGAATTGTTTAAGTAAATAAATTGCAAGATAGAAAGATTAAGCTTTGTCAGGATTACATGACAGTAGAGCCAGTATTTTATAATTAATCCTCACAGTTTCTTCATTTTGCTTCCACATGGCAACCTTTATATTTGCCTGATCCTTTTGAAAATCCAAATTGCTGAGGAAATAAGATAGTCCTGTGAAAAGGAGCAGCTACTTTTCCCTGTCAAAAACCCAATTAACACCATCTCTTCTCCATTGCTAGTGGGTTCCTGAAACTCTTGATATGTTTTCTGCCTAGTGTTTTTGAGGGTGTGTTTTCCCTAATGACATTTCTTTTTAATGACCTCTGTACACTATTCTTTTAATGGAAGACTGCAGAGATTTTTCAAAGCAAGTACAATCTCTCCACTTTGCCTAGAGCAGGTCTTGGCTGAGGGGATGCTAAAAATCATTTCTTTACAAAAAACTGGTTGTCAGGATTATATTTCTTTGTTTCCATAGCAACAGAAATGAGCAAAAGCTCAGATTAAAAACAAAAGCTAAAGCCCAGTTCTTTCCTTTCATGTCTTTCCTTTTCTGTAAATTTACTAATCTTTATGATGTCATATTTGACTGGTTGGATACTGAGATCTGGGAAGAGGATTCATAGTGCTACTCTTAAGGTGGGACAGATTATGGCTAAAAGCCAGAATCTTCTGGGTAAAACTGAAATTTCATAGTATTTCCTCAGAGCCAGAAGCCCTGCTAAGGATCCCCTTTTTTTGGTGGTACAACCAGACGAATAATTTAGATATTTTTTCCAGATTAAAAAACCGCTATCTTGCCCTAGTTGGTTTGGCTCAGTGGATAGAGCATTGGCCTGCGGACTGAGGGGTCCTGGGTTTGATTCCGGTTAAGGGCACATGCCCAGGTTGCAGGCACGATCCCCAGTAGGGGGTGTGCAGGAGGCAGCCGATCAGTGATTCTCTCTCATCATTGATGTTTCTATCTCTCCCTCTCCCTTCCTCTCTGAAATCAATAAAAATATATATATTTAAAAAAACCACACCACTATCTTCAGCATGATCACTTTGTAAGTTATTTAAATGTCTAATCATGGGGTTGTACATCTGAAACTAACACTATTATATAAACTAACACTAACTCTAAAGAAAAAAATATATATATATAAAACAGCTCTATCTTCATAAGAATCTCCTCTCCTAATTTACTTCAGATAAGGGAAGAAGAATGTTGTTTCGTTTGGATTGCCTCTGTGCTAGAAAACTGTGGCTTGTCATTCTGTGTGCATTTTTATTTATTTATTTTGGTTAATCATCAAAAGATATTTTTCCATTGAATTTTAGAGAGAGTGGAAGGGAGGGGGAGACAGAGAAATATTGACATGAGAGAGACATATCAGTTGGTTGCCTCCCACATGTGCCCTGACCAGGGTCTGGGATCATGCCTGCAACCGAGGTACGTGCCCTTGACCAAATGAACCCAGGACCCTTCCATCTGAGGGCCAATGCTTGATCCACTGAGCCAGACTGGTCAGGGCTATGTTTGCATTTGAAACACTGGATTTTAAGTGACACTTTTCTGGAATCTAGGAGATAGATTCTGATCTTAAGGTCTTTTCTGTCCACTGTTTTGTGATTCATCTTCCCCTCATTCCCTGCTCCCAGGTGATACGGAATCTGTATTTATGAATGAAGGATGGGAAGATGTGGATAGTATTGTCTGTTTAATGTTAAGTTATCATACTGGATTCCAGCTAACCTGAGAACTACCTGAGGAACAATACTTCCATATACCTTTAACTTATACTTCTTGAGGAACACCAGAAAAATGACTTCACTACATTTTTTTTCCATCTCCAAAGTAGCATTTAGTAAATATATGGGAATGGGGTTTTTGTCTTATGTTCAAAACAAATATTACTCTCTCTGCTGTCACTTGCCATGACCATTTGTATCTTTGAGAGAATATAACCTTTATGCTTTTCTACTCTTAAAGGAAGCTGGTGGTGACAAAAGAGAAAGAGAAGAAAGTGGGGCTGTATACAATCTATGTAAATCCTGCCAATACTCACCAGTTTGCAGTGGGTGGACGAGATCAGTTTGTAAGGTGAGTCTGTGGCTTTTCTGTGTCTTTGAAAAGAGTTTGAGACTCTGATGCATTTTGTACTATCAGGTGTCCCTATGGAAAGGTATGAATTGCCTAGGAATCCATTAGCCACCATCTTGAGTTTTTTACTCTCTTCCAAAAGAGTTTAGCTCCTGGTGGGTATTCTGCTCCCTAATGTGACAGTCTCTGAGGGATGATTTACCATCGGAATAATCAAGTTTTAAAGAACTTTGATGAATTGACCAAGGTTCCCACGGAGCAGTTAAGGCATAATCCCAAGTGTTGTATTAGTAAATAACCCCCACCATTTTCATATATAAGTTAACATGCACTAGAAGTTTGAATGCTGGTTTATGATACAGAAATGATTTGACTTCGGAGTGCTTGGTGTGAACTCAGAACTTTTTCGCTTCCATTGTCTTGAACCATTTTTCTTTGTAGTGATATTTTTGTTACTGTGAATATCTGTTGTAACACTGGCTATTAAGGTAGGTATATATCCTAAGAAAAATGGACTTCATGGATTCAATCCCCAGGTATATTAATTAGTTCCCTTCTGGCCCTTAGCCATAAACTGTACTCCATCCCTATCCAATTGGCCTATTTTAACTCTATATTTCTTTTTTTTCAAATATATTTTATCCATTTTTTACAGTGAGGAAGGGAGAGGGATAGAAAGTTAGAAACATCGATCAGTTGCCTTCTGCCCACCCCACTAGGGATGTGCCCGCAACCAAGGTACATGCCCTAGACCGGAATCAAACCTGGGACCCTTGAGTCCTCAGGCCGACGCTCTATCCACTGAGCTAAACTGGTTAGGGCTATATTTCTTTTGTTGCTGAGGGATTATCAGTTTGAAAAGGAGGAGGAGAAGGGATCCCTAGAGGATTGAGTGACTTTGTTTTCCTTTCCTGATGGTGGGTGAAAAGCATTATCTTCTTTCAATGAGAGCACATTTTATAACTATATTCTGAAATTAATTTTATTTATAGGAAAGGGGAAGAAAGGTAATAAGGCTTTCCCCATGATGAAGGAGGACAAAGAGTGTTGGATACCAGGGAACACGGAATAGCTCACACAACCAAATATTAAGCATTTTTTACTAATTTACTGACTTGCTGAAGTTTATGATGGCTTAGTGACATTTGAGAGCTGTGTTTAGACTTAATATAGAAAGAAAACAATTTGATTAGCAGGTAATATACATTTGCTGAAGAGTAGTAATTGGTAATACAACAATCTCCTCTTTTTTATTTTAATTTTTGTATTTATTGATTTGAAAGAGAGGAAGAGGTAGAGAGAGAGAGAGACAGATTTGTTGTCCCACTTATTTATGCATTCATTGGTTGAGTCTTGTATGTACCCGACAAGGGATCAAACCCGCAACCTTGGCATATTGGGATGACGCTCTAACCAACTGAACTACCCGGCCAGGGCCTTATTCCTCTTTTCTTTCTCTGGTTCATTTAGCAAACATTTCCTGGATATTTTCTTTATGCAGGATATTAAGCAAGAGATTGTTGAGAATATAAGCATATATTGATTCATTTAGCATTTACTGAATACCTGCCATGTGCTAGATACATACTTAGACAGTCTCTGCCTTCAGAAAGGATTCTGGAGAAACCTACGTAAGGATTACAAATATGAACTAATATGCCCAGTATTACTCATCTAGTAAGTGGCAGAGTTAGTATTTGAACTCAGATCTGACTCCTTAAATGTAGTAAAAACCATTCCACTGAGGAAGCATTAAAGACAAATGGGGAATTAGTATTTCAGGTAGAGAGGACAGTATGTTTAGAGATAACAAGATGTGACATGGTATGTTCAAGGAAGCGTCATCTTTATTTGTTGTTTTGTATAATATATGGGATCTTTGAGAAGTAGTAGGCAGCCATACTAAGGAGTTTAGACTTTTTTTAGTAGAAAGCACAAAACCACTAAAGATAATTAAGCAGGAAACTTATATAAAATTTTGCATTTTAGACATAATTCCAAACTGGAGACAGTATAAGCAAGGAAATTGGTTTAGAAGGATTCTACATGTCACGTAAGCAAAATTTGATTAAGGGTGGGGAAAGTAGATATAGTCAAGAAATTCACCCAGGGAATCTAATTGACAGGAAGGAAATTAGTTCTATATGAGATAAAGTACTTGATTTCTAGCTTGGTCACTTAAATTCAGGATAATGCCATTAACAGAGATTTAGGGGAAAGGGTAAGTTTAGAATGAGTTTAATTTTAGAAGAAAGAATGAGTTTACTCTTGGGCATCTCAGTATAACTTCAGTTGGCACATAGATATAAATCTGGATCTCAGAATAAGTTTGGGTTGGAGATTCAGGTTTATGAGACATGTTCGTAGAAGGTAGTGAAAGCATTGATAATGGAATTTGATCACTAATGGAAAGTATTGATCAGACTTCTCTCCCCCACCTCCCTTTGAATCTCTGGCCTCTTTGAGACTATACGGAGAACTATGATCCCTTCTCCCTGGAAAATACACATAAGTACAGTTTCTGGACGTTCACATACTACTAAGATGCTAGGTTAAAATTTTCTTATATAGAGTCAGGAGAACTTAAGACTAAACCTCTGTGGAAGGTCAATATTTAAGGGATAGACAAAGAAAGACAGGCCCATGAACAACATTGAGGAGTGGTTAGACATCAAGGAAAGAACATATTTTAGGTGAAGGAGTAATGAACATGTCAGGACAAGAGAAAAAGGCCTGAAAAGTATCTTGTTGGCATTGGCAATTTGGTTACTGATGACTTTAGCCCAGCCGTGGGCAAACTACGGCCCACGGGCTGGATCTGGCCCGTTTGAAATGAATAAAACTAAAAAAAAAAAGACCGTACCTTTTTATGTAATGATGTTTACTTTGAATTTATATTAGTTCATACAAACACTCCATCCATGCTTTTGTTCCGGCCCTCCGGTCCAGTTTAAGAACCCATTGTGGCCCTCGAGTCAAAAAGTTTGCCCACCCCTGCTTTAGCCAGAGGAGCTCAGTGGTGAGTTGAGGGCCAAAGCTAGGTGGGAATGGTTTGAGAAGTGAATAAGAAGTGAGGAAGTGAAAATATTGAATGTAGATTACTCTTTTCGTAATTTGACTCCAAGGAAAGGACAATCAGTAAGAGAATTTTTAGAAAATGGGCAGACAGTGATGAGGAAGAGGCTAAGAATGGAGTAAGCACCAAAGTTATTGGAGGAACGAGATTAAGAGCAGCTGTGGAGGCTCTGAGATTGAAGGAGAATGATGGGTGTGGACATTGGAGCTTGTGTGTGTATGTGTGTGTGTGTGTGTGTGTGTGTGAAGTATATTTTTATTGATTTCAGAGAGGAAGGGAGAGGGAGAGAGAGAGAGAAACATCAATGATGAGAGAAAATCATCACCTCCCTCCCAGCCAATGGGGATCAAGCCCTCAACCTAGGCATGTGCCCTTGATCGGAATCAGACCTGGACCCTTCAGTCCGCAGGCCAACGCTCTATCCACGGAGCCACACCGGCTAGGGCTGTCTTGTTCTTCACTGTATTTTCAGCACCTAGCATAATACTTGGGACATGATATGTGTCATAAACATTTGAATGAATGATTAAAGTTTGAATTGGAGAGATTAGGGAAGGTGAAGATAGTTTGGTGCTTGATGGGAATGAAGGAAGGAGAGAGTAAGTTTTTGACATTTTCATTGCTTCTCCCACCATAGGATTTATGACCAGAGGAAAATTAATGAGAATGAAAACAATGGAGTACTCAAGAAATTCTGTCCTCATCACCTGGTAAGAGTCATGAAGGGCCAGTGGCTCTAGGCTTCCCTGACTCGACCCCAAGGCTACTCCCGAACTTATTGGTATAGTGGGAAGAGCTTGGACTTTTGAATCAGACACCTGGATTTGAATCCTGGCTCCACCACTTACCGTCTTGTGATCTTGGGCAGTCACCTCACCTCTGTTGGTCAGTTTTCTTACTGACAACATAGACGTAAATGCCTGTGCCGTGATGGTAAGGCTCAATGAGACAACGAATATATAAAGTGGCTAGCACACAGAAGATAGCCGACAGAAAGCCCTCTCCCCCAGAGATGGCTACATCTCATCGGTTGTAGTCCTCTCTCTGTCTCTTTCTCTCAATCTCTGGGAGAACATTAGGGGAGTTTGAAGGAAAACCTTTTTCCTGAAGATGGTATAACAAATGGGGGTGGGGGTAGGGCATCAGTCAGTATCTGCTCCTTATTGCAGGTGAACAGTGAGTCCAAAGCAAACATCACCTGTCTTGTGTACAGCCACGACGGCACAGGTACGTGAGCAGGGCCCAGCTCCTAGGCTGGCATGCCCCCTCTGTCTAGGAAGCTGCTGAACAGTGAGGCATGTGCCCTGTAGTGCTCACCACTGTGCTAGAGATCCAAGTAGTTGCTGATGGTGAGCACACAGTGGGAGGATGCAGCAGATGACCCTTGGAGATGCCAGGTACACTGTGGAATGCTGCAGATGAGATTTGACAGGGCCTGTCCTGAAGTCCAGACCACGTGCTTGAGCAGGTGCTTAAGCCTTGACTTGTTCCTGAGTTAATGGGTGTGATCGTGAGCATTCTGCTACCCCTGTGTGGCAGTATGTTCCTGTTCTGCTTGAGACAGCTGACTTGCCTGCTGTTCCAACCGAGTAAGATGGGTGTTAATATACATGGGTGTTAGGAGGGGGCACTACTGGCAAGAAGCCCCACCCCTACCCCCAGCTCCCGATCCCAACTTTTTTTTCAGCCTTTGCCTTCACTGCTGTGTGCTTGTTCTTGGCAGAGCTCCTGGCCAGTTACAACGATGAAGACATTTATCTCTTCAACTCCTCTCACAGCGATGGGGCCCAGTATGTGAAGAGATATAAGGGCCACAGAAATAACGCCACAGGTGAGGCTGTCTTTCTAGGTTTTTGTAGCCAAGTCTGCTGGCTTGGAGAACCAGTGTCTCGTTCGGGTTGTGCAAATAGGAACTTCCTACAGGAGTAGACTGCCTGCCACTGAGGGCTGTGGGAGGGGATCCCTAATTGAGCTGGAGTTGTCGTGGGCCTACTTTGCTAGAGGAGAGAGGGTTTGGGGGCATCTCTCACCTCTGCAATTATTTGGTTTGAGCATAAGGAGACTGGACTATTTTTCTTATGGTTTCAGTTAACCTCAGGATTCAAAGGCTTGTTAAGGAAGTCTGGGAAAGCCTCCTCAGTCAGTGGTACTGGATTGCCTCACAGAGGGTGACTCCGTACTTCTAGAGAGGAGGAGGAGGAAGTGATTCTTTTGAATGAAGCAGAGGAGGAGGAATGGTGTAGTACCTCGCCCAAGTTTGTAATGGAGTTTGTCCTTTTTTGTTCTGTCTTGTTCTTTGCTGCACAGTGGGGTCATGTAATAGTCTTTTAAAAATCCCGGTGCCTGGCTTCCAACCCCAGGCATTCTGATGCAGTTGGTAAGGGATGTGGCCCAATTGGGATGCTAAAAGCCCTTTACATGATTCTAGTGTACAGGAAAATTGGGGAATCACTGCTCTTCGTTATTGTTACCATGCCTAACAGTATCTGTCATAATTTTGATTTGGAGAGAGCAGTTAGTTTTCCTTTTTCTCTTGAGCTGGTGAGAAGAGAGGGAAAACCTGTACTTGGATCTTAGTCCATGGCCAGACAGGGAGGGCCAGTCCCATTTCTGGTAAAGACTGGCATCATAGTTGGGACTCCGGGCTTCTTTCACTAACTTGAGAGAGTGGAGCCCCATTGTGCAGAGGCTTGGTAACAAGCATAGTTTAGATGCTGCTTTAGGCAGTTGTGATGTGCACTTCCATCAGTCTCAGGTCAGCTGATGAAAGGAAGTGTTGACAAGGTACCAATGAAGTATACATCCCAAGAAAATCCTAGGGCCTAGGACAGAGCTGTCTAGGAGTAGGCAGAGCTGGGGTGATTCAAATTGGGACAGTAAGGCATTAGTGAGGCCTGTGGTTGCTTGAAAGGGTGTGGAATGATGAGACTTAGACTATTGCTAGGGACTGCCAACTCCTCAGCCCTTGGGTCTCTTTGGGACAATAGAAATAGTCTTAGGGACTGGCATGATTCTTGTTATGACTATTATACATATGTATTCCCTTGATAGTTCTGTGAAAATGAAAGGCACTCTGGCTCTTAGCTGTTTTAGAGTTTGTGACTGACTAAATTCCTTCTGAGGTAAATATGTATAGGCCTGATGCCAACCGTCATGTGGTTTATTCCCTCATTTATCATTTCAGTTAAAGGCGTCAATTTCTATGGCCCCAAGAGTGAGTTTGTGGTGAGCGGTAGTGACTGCGGCCATATCTTCCTCTGGGAGAAATCATCCTGCCAGATCATTCAGTTCATGGAGGGGGACAAGGGAGGCGTGGTGAGTACGGTGTGCTGGTGGGCTGGCTCCCTGCTCTCCAGTCTTTAAGGTAGGTTTTGGCAGGGCCTCTGAATTCCCACTGTGACGACATGATACCATGTCTTAGAGGGCTGGCCAGCTACAAGACAGTGTGGTCTTGGAGAGCTGCGATTTCGATAGGATATTTTCTTCCCTTTCCTACCTTTTGCACCATGTAAGACATGGCTTATTGAAAAGAGAAATGGATCTTAGGGAAGAACCTCTGGCCTGAGTGAGGTATCCCTAGGCATGGACCTTTTGCAAAAGGAAAGCATGAAAGTTGAGGGGGTACCATCCTATATAATGCCAAAGAGGTCTCCAGGTCTCATCCCTTACCAGGAGCTAAGTAGTGATCTTAGCTAGATTCTGGATCAGTGGATACAAGTTGGAAGGAGCATTTTTCAGATAATTGGGAAAATCAGAAAAAAGGTCTGTATATTAGATAAATAGCATTCAATGTTAAATTTATTTGATGTGGTGATAGCATACTCTTTATAATCCTTGTACTTAGGAGATAAATATATTAAGTATTTAAGTGTGAAGTGTCATGCTTATATTCAAATGGCTGCAAACACACATGTGAGAGAACAAATATGGTCAAAAAAAATTTTTTTAAATAATAACTGGGCAGCCTGCTTTACAAACCGTGATCACATCAGTCTGCTTGTCCTTTGACTTCTCCAGACAACCTCCATAGAGATAGGGCACACGGGAAGCATGAGGATCCTGAGTTGGGGAGTGAAGCGTGGTCAGCTTAAGATGTATCTGGCTAACCATATATATTTTTTTCTTTTTTAAGACCCAGAGTCACAAAGAAGTTGAATAGCTTTCTATTGTAAGGTTTTTGGACTGCAGAAGATATGAGCGAGACTGTTTGGGAGACTACGTTATACTGGTTACCCAAGACAGTCTGGTTAAGAGCCTCTAAGGAATGGCTGGTCAGCTTAGTCTCTCTTCCTTTTCATCCTTCTGAGCTGTGGAGAGCTGCAAAGAGCCCAGCCATCCTTTATCCAGAGAGTGGTGTTATAATTTAGAATCGTTTCTTGCAATTGGGACTCCATTCCTCTGTGTGTTTCTTGCCCTGGTGTGAGGCTATTTGAGATTTTCTTCTGGTTTCCTGTAAATTTTTTGGACCTAGAACCAGTAGATATTCAAGACTTCTATGGCCTGAATATAAGGGAAGAGGAATCTAGAACTTGAAGGTGTGTCTGTTGCCTGCTTCATTTTCTTTATTTTTTTAAAATATATTTTTATTGATTTCAGAGAGGAAGGGAGAGGGAGAGAGAGAAACATCAATGATGAAAAAATCATTGATTGGCTGCCTCCTGCACGCCCCCCACTGGGAATTGAGCTCACAACCCAGGCATGTTCCCTTGACCGGAATCAAACCTGGGACCCGTCAGTCCCCAGGTCGGCGCACCATCCACTGAGCCAAACCTGCTAGGCCGCCTGCTTCATTTTCTACTCTTAAGTCCTCACCTATCATCTGCAATGAACAAACCCAAAATAATGGAGTCTTAATGAGAATTCTGTAACAGGCATGTAGTCAGAAGGAAGTCAAAAGGGGCCAGTGAGTCCTTTCTTGATTATAAATTGTCTTGAATTCCATTGCAGAGATGCAGAGCTGCGCTTGTCTATTCTCCAAAATCACTTCTCAGGCCAATTTGCTTTCAGCTCAGCCACTCTTAGGGTTTGATGGTTAATCTAGGTGCCCAGATTGCTTGTGTTTGGGTGGTCATGTGAGGACTAGACCTACAGTGTGTTTCCTGGCTTATTCTCACCTCTGCAAGCTGAATGATTCATGTGGTTCTCACTTGGCTTCCTCTGTTTTTGGGGTTTTTTTGTCTTAAACTCCCAGCAATGGGGTCACCAGGCACCAGCCTCAATGCAGACTGATAGCAGGTCTGTATTGTCAAGTAGAATATTCGAACCAGAAGGGATCTTAGAAATGATCGTCCACATTTGCCTAGGTCTCTTGACTCTGTTTTTGCCTCAAACTCTAGTCCTTTCTTTGTTCCCATTCAGGGACAAGGGTTGGGGGTGATATCAAAGGACAACTAAGGCCAGAGCTCCTTTCTCTGCTCAGGCATTATTGACCAGATAAGTCTTGGCATTCGGGCAAGGTCTGGTGAAGTGCTCATGTGTCCTGGTCCAGAAACTATTGGCTCCTTCAGCAGGCTCCAGCTTAAGTACGGTGGTGTCATTTATCTGTTATTTCTTTTGCCATTGGCTTTGTCCTTAGTCTTAAGTTCCAAGGAATTTCTCGAGAACCCTGTGCTTTTTAAATTTACTGACTTGTTCAAGCAGAGCCAGGTCAGAGTAGAGGGACTTACAAGGTAAGATCAGTGAATTCAGGGTTTGTGTATAAGCTGTCATTTAGCTTTTGGTAATGTTCCTGGGCATTGGAGTTTCTATCTAGTGCCTCCTCATGTTCTGGATGCTGGAACCTCTTACACGCTAGCTGAAGGACCCCAAATATAAAGTGCAGTGTGCTGATGTACGGAGTGCAAAGAAGGGAAACGGGGCTTCTGCTTTGCTCTTAGGCTCTTTACTGAGCATTTTGTTTATCTGTAAATATAGAACAAAAGATTAGAAGTCTGTATGTCAGTTTTATTTCCATGCTGGCCCCAGCTTACCCTCATCTGATCTGCAAGGTCAGACGAGGCAGAGGGGGTTGGTCCAGAGAACAGAGACTTTTTGCCAGGGGTTGACTTCCTGGACTGTAGGGTGGCTGCAAGGCTGGGTGGGGTGAGAGGAGTCATGGCTAGGACCACACACACCTTCTTCATTCTTGGTGCCTTTCCTGTCTAGTCTTCACCTGACTAAAAGGCTGAAAATGTTTTAGCAGCTACATCTGGACCAGCACTTCAATTGGCATGGGAGCTGCCCTGCCGTTCGGAAGGCTGAAGTTTCCAAGTCAGACAGCAGGGGGCGGGGGGGCCTTGGACAGGAGGAAGCTGCCTAAGCCAGAGGCCTGTCTGCCTGCCCTAGTTTATTTCTCCTGCTCAGTGAGTACAACTAGAGGGTGGTTGAGATTGAGGCTGTGGCTGCCCTAAGAAGCGGCTCTGGTATCCTTGGCCACCCTAGAGCTAGCCCTTCTGTGTTTTTAGGGCAGGTATCAGGATGCTGTCTCCCGAAACGTGCAGGGTTCCCAAGCAGACATGAATGTACCTCTTTACCCCACTACTCCCCGCCTCAGCCTCTTCCTAGCCTATGCCTTCCTCCAGTTTGAGTAAACGGTGCCACATCTTTGTTCTCCGCTGCTTTCTTCATTGTTTTTAAATTTGCCACTTGGTGAAAGCCCCTGAGACGGTTTTTTCCAGTCTTGGGTGAGTTGGAGCTGTGGAATCTGTAGTGAATGAAATTATCTGGACCTCATTGCCTTTTTTTGAAGCCAGCATTAAGTTTGGCCAGTCACTTGCCCACCTCTAGGGCTGTTTCTGGGGATGAGACCACCCCTGCCTATATATAGGAAATGAGAAATGGGCCTGGTCTTTTTACCCAGTCTGTGCCCGAGTTTCTTCCACCTCCAGGGCTCTGGCTTAGCCTCATAGTGGGTGAGCCTGCCTTTCCAGTAGCTGCTCAGCCCTGCTCAGGGATAGTGATTTGGCTCAAGGTGAGTAGTGATTTTGAAATATATTCCTCCATACCCCTGAGCCTGAGGTTTCCTCTCCTCCTGACTAGGTAAACTGTCTTGAGCCCCACCCTCACTTGCCTGTGCTGGCAACTAGCGGCCTGGACCATGATGTCAAGATCTGGGCACCCACAGCTGAAGCTTCTACTGAGCTTATAGGGCTAAAGGATGTAAGTAGCTGACTGCAAAAGTTCTTTGTTGTCATAGGAAGGAATAATCTGCTGCCCAGTTATTCAAAAGCACTGTTCTAACGCCTCTCCCCCGCATGCCTGTCCCTGCCTCTCTAGGAACAGTCCCAGTCTGGCGCGAAGCTTTGAAGTGCCTCTGGCTTGTGCTAGAGTGGGGGCAGGGGACATTTTTTAGGAAGAATCATTCTATTTAAAGTCTCCACCTTGTCAGTGGATGGACCTGGGCACCCTTTCCTGATCTAATCTAGCTCCACTTCAGCTTCACAGTTCTAAGGGAAGTCTTTATTGGATAGAACACCGGCCTTTTCTGATGAGGTCCAGGGTCCCCATTCAGTACATGCTCCCATGTCCCTAACCCTTTTTTGCTCCAGGTGATTAAGAAGAACAAGCGGGAACGGGATGAAGATAGCCTGCACCACACTGACCTGTTCGATAGCCACATGCTCTGGTTCCTCATGCACCACCTGAGGCAGAGGCGCCATCACCGGGTAAGCGGGAGTGGGAAGGGAGCTCCCAGGTGCTAGTGCACACTGCCTCGCTGCTTTAAAGAGGAACCGGGTGGTCTTGGTTGGGCTTCTATTCATTGTCCCGCATTCCCATCAGAGCCCTGCGGTAGCCTTGGGAGAGCCACTGGCAAAAATGGGTGGCATCTGCTTTTTGTTCTCCATTGCCATTCATGCACAGTGATGTCTTCAAAAAGACAAGGTCATGAGGGTGGGGAAGGAGTTGAGAAGGAATAAGTCTCAGGGAGACCCTTCTGTTTTTCTTTTCATGCCAGAAGAGGCCTAGGGTAGGGTAAACTATGGCATTTGGCTTATTGCCTGTTTTTGTAAATAAAGTTTTATTGGAACATAGCTATACCCATTCATTTATGTATTGTCTGTGGCTGCTTTCACACTACAGCAGCAGAGTTGCATAGTTATAACAGCTATATGGCCCAAGAGTCTAAAATACTTACTATCTGGCCCTTTAAGAAAAATTCTGCTGACCCCTGGCCTCGAGTATCTGAATTGTATAGTTAAGATCTAACAGGTTTGTCGTTCAGGGAAGTTACTGACAAGCCTTTCCCATTCAACAGCGCTGGCGAGATCCTGGGGTCGGGGCCACAGATGCAGACTCTGACGAGTCTCCCAGTTCCTCAGACACATCGGACGAGGAGGAGGGCCCTGACCGGGTGCAGTGCATGCCATCCTGAGGCCTCGGACCCAGGAGGGCGGGCTGGGCTGCCAACCTGATCCTGCCTGGGAGCCCTTTCCTGTCCTTACATTCAGCTGAAACGCACTTTGGACTTTTTGCTTTAGATAAAAGAAAGAATCCCAGGAGGACAAACCAGAGAGGAGTGAACCTACAGAGTACCTAGGAGTGGGGTTGAGCCCGGAAAGGGGTTCCATGGAAAGATGCATCGGACTCGGTAGAAGTGGCCTCTCCCCAAAGCCTTTTGGGGGAGTAGGAAAGGGAGCCTTTTTGTTACCTGGTTTGGGATAAGGAGTGGGGTTTCCTTTTCTTTAATCTCCCTTGTTTCTTGGGTGGGGGTTTGGGGATGTAACTGGCTGTTCAGTACCAAGGAGCCAGAGTGGGGTGGTAGAAGTTGCACTCTCTCTTTGGTTTAGGTTTTTGACCTTTTTTTCCTTTATTGTTAAAAAAATCTATGACAGTTATATTATTCCCCACCCGTTCCGCCCCCCCCCCCCCCTCCCCAAGATCATGTTTTTCTGGGAAGTCCTTAGAGCCCCTTACCATCCCACACTCTTCACTTTCCTTTCCACCCATTCATCCTCTCTACTTTTCACAGTGTTTTGCACTTGATTATGTATCCTTTACTCTCTTCTCTTCATCCCATCACCCCTAATATCTGGTGAGGGAGGCTGGTGGGAAGTGGGAAGAGGGGCAGAAGTGGAGGAAGAATAGGAAGGATGTTACCTCTTCTGTTACTTTAAAAAAAGTTGTTTGGTGGCAGCAATCTCCCTGTCCCTATCACTGTTAGAAGCCTAATTTTATATCTATTATAAATATATTAAAAAGCAAGTCAAATCTGAATGTATCATGTTAACATTATTGTCCCAGTTGAAATACCTACCTATTCTCTGTGATGGCAATAAAGGGGCTTTCAGGAGAGAGTGATGGAGAGTAATGGTGTGGAGGGGGTAGCCTACTCTTGTTTGGCCATTAGAGATTGGGGCTGACCCCTTGGGTTGTGAGAGACTCAAGAATGGAAGGATTCTCAATTTTCCGATCCCTGCTTCCATTGTTTCGGGTTTGGGGAAACAGGAAATTGCTTTCAGCTCTTTGCCTCAGGGCTCCTACCTCTCTTGTTGGGGTTCCCAGGATGGCTCTTCTAACCAGAGCCTGGCTCATCCTTAAAACTTGACTGAACTTTGATTTCAGAAAAGGTCCTGCCACTGCAGACGGCCTCTCCTAGGATCGTGTGTGACAGAGACACTCTTCGCTTTAGCTGTTGTTGCCTTTTTTTTTTTTTTTTAAGCTGCTTGATTCTTTATACCATCAATCCCCACAACAGCAATCTTCCTGATAATGGAAGAATATATAGGATAAGACCGCCTGGGCCTTACTCTGTACCTTATCCACATCTTATCTTGGGAGTGAGGGACAGGCCATTCATCTAAGGATTGATTAAGGTGGCTGGGCCTTGGGCACCTTTCTTCTCACTGGTCACTGCATATGAAAGTCCCAGTTGAATTCTTGCCCTTAAATGCTTTTGCTGCTGTTTCTTTGCACCCTCAACCAGGAACTCTGCGTCCTGCGGCAGTCACATTCTGTTAGAACGGGCTAGGAGCGAAGGGAAGAGGAAAGGGTGGAATTCCTGACACTCCTTCCTTCTGCCCCGTTTCCTAGCAGCTCTTTTTTCGGGGGTTGGGACTATGTGCTGATAGTGATCTGTGCTCCTGTCGCTAATGGGTGAGGTGATGGAGTGGGCACAAAACCATGCACTCGGAATTGGTTGTATATTTTCTCTTGGTAAGCCCCCACCCTGGACTGCTCTGTGTGGTAGTGGGCCGTTCACTTGTGATGGGCTATTTTTGCTCCTTCCAATGTACCTACCTGGCCCTGCCCTTACTACACTTTAGGAAATCTAATCTGGAATATCCATGTTTCCAGTGCTTGGGTTCCAACTGGAGGCTGTTGTAGGTGGAATAGGCCCCATAGCTCAGTGATACCCGGGAGATGGGGCAGGGGAGATACTGTTAGGGGTGTTTTCCTGGCCTGGTCCAGGCTGCAGTGAGGGATTTGGGGGTAAGTACTACTTTCCCTCCCTTACCAGCCATTCAGAGACTCCAAAATCCTGATCATTCATCTGAGTTCTATAATCAGTCAGATACAGTTACAGTCAATCACCTTTATTCCAGGGTTAGGACAAGGCCGTGCACACTACACAGAGGAGCACAGGAATGAGCAGTCTCACGCAATACCGGGGGGTGGGGTGGGGTGGGGGGGAGTTAGTCTTTTTAGATGATTTTGCCTTACAGAGCAATTACTAGACTGCTGAAACGACCCTGTCTGCCTTCTCCCTATCTCATCCTCTCCTCTCTTCAAAGGAAGGCTCCTACTCATTCTCATTCATCCTCATTCTCGGTCTCTTGCTCTCATATAATATACTCTTACTGGAAAGACAATTAATTCATGCTCATTTCCCTTTCCCAATTCTACAAGTCTTTCTCTCTCCTTCAGGGAGAAGCCAGACAGGGCTGGGGAACTTGGGAAGGTCCTTTAAGGCAAAACGAGTACTCGAGGTGTATGTGTTAAGGCAGGTGTCCGCAGCAGTGGCCAGGGGACAGGCAGGCTGGGCTGGGCTAGGAGTGGAAGGTGCTCTCCAACCAGTCTGGCTTCTTCCCTCTTCCAACAGCCACCCCTCCCATGCAAGTTTTGCTCCCACATCCTAGAAGCTCCTAACATAAACTTTCTCTAGTCTCTTGAGATTACATGTGAATTTAAAGTTAAAAAATAAGTTTTGTTCTGACTATATAGGAATTTGACTCTGCCACTCCCTTCATTGTGGCATTCGCCTCCCACCCCCACTCTGGCCTATACAATAAGTTAATGCTAGACACCACAAGAAAGGGCAGACATGGCAGTGTGGGTTTAATATACATATATGTAGAATATATATGTACACACAGTTAGCACGGTCAGGGTGGGGAGGGCAGGCAGGAGGCCGGGGTCACCGTACTTGTAGTGATTTAGAGAGGAGGCGTTCACAAGCCCAAGGCGCCAGGATGCGGGAGAGGGGTTCCCAAGTCCCTTCCTGGGTTGAATTGGGGGTCAGTGCAAGGAAAACACTGTCATTAACTCCTTCCCTTACTTCGGACTTGGGGTGTTCTAGACCAGGGAAAGGGAAAGTTTCCTACATGACCACTCTGGGACTCCGTAGGTGGGGGCAGAATCGGAGTGAAAATGAAGAATCTCGTTCCCCAACCTCCCGAGGCTCGGGGTCAGTATGTGCAACAGTCTGAGTAGGAATAAAGGGGGGAAGGAGCCCCTCAGCCCCGGCCCAGGCTCAGTGGGGCGTTCTCCCAGCAGTCTCCAGCGCAGATGGGGGGGGGGGGGCGTAATGCTGGGTGCTCTGCTTTGGGGCTGGGAAAGGATCCATGGTCCTGTCATTCGGTCCTGGCTCATACCCATCTGAGGGGAGCACAGCGGGACCTGCTGGCACCGAGGCCCCTCAACCTGAGGAATAGCTGGACTCCACAGCAGCCCAGCGTGGGGTAACACCGAACTCTGAACTCCGGCTTTTCTTTGCCCCTCCCAGGTGGAGGTTGGGTAGCCTCTTCACCTTCCCTCCCGCCTGCATCTCCTGTGTCTCACTCCCACTTTGGCTCCTCAGTGTAGGAACATGCAGGTCCATTTTGCTCTCACACTTGCGAGAGGTGGTGGGAAAGCGGAGAAAGGGGGAATAGGAGGTGTGCCCATTTCTATACGCAGTTTCCCGGAAGTGGGAACTCAGCCCCCAACCCCAGCCTCTGACCCCCAGCCCCTCACAAGGAAGAGGAGCTAGATGAGCTAGACATGTAGACAGACAGCCAGAGCGTGTGCACACACACACACACGCACACAGTAAGGGGGTTAGGACCAGGTTAGTAAGTGGGTAGATTTGTGGGGGTGGGGGGTGCCTTTGCCCCCTCCCCTGGAGGCTGGGGGAAGGGAGTGGTCCTATGAAGGTCCAACCTTCCTCCTCTTCCTCCCCCTTGCTCAGGCTTTCTTCGGTGGAGGAGCCAGTTTGATGATCTCTTCCTCAGAGGGCTGCCGGATAATGTCTGGGGGCAGAAAGGGACATGTCCAGGGATGGAATATGGGAGACACCAGGCAGGCCCGTTGAACATCAGCCTTCATGCTCCCAGAGTGCAAGCAACTCCAGGGATCATCCACGGGAGGGCACAGTGCACAGTAAGGCAAGGCCTCTTACCTTTGTACTTCTTGGCACTGGGGATACGGGTTAGCTTGGTGTCCAGCTCATCCTCCTCAGAGATCTTCAGAACACGGGTTCTGTAGTCAACCACCATAGTGAGTAGGTCAGGTCGGCGAGAGATCTCAAAGATGTGCTCAATGTAGGAGAGGTTGTCTGGAGCAAGGCAGGAAACAGGGTTAGAGCTAAGCTGTGTGTGTGCGTGTGGCGGGGTTGGGGGGTGTGGGTCAGCCTCCCCCATTCTACCAGATCAGGCCTCTGGAACCAAGACTGAGTTGCTCACAGTGGGTATCAGAGGGGCAACCGAAGAGGAGGAGCCACTAAGCCGAGGAAAGAAAGCTAAGGCGCCACAGAGCAGTACAGATGACTGTTCCCAAGGAGAGCAGAGCATCCATCAGTGATGATTCTAGGTCACGGATTTAGAATGAGGGATTTAGGTTCAATACATGTGACATCGGGGGGTGGGGGGTGGGGCAAAAGGGAAAAATTCACTGGCTTCCAAATACTCCCCACCCACCCTGAGCTGCTTCCACTTTTCCTCCAAGCAAGCTTCAGAAAACATTTCCTGACAGCACAGGTGGGACTGGAGGGTGGGATCTAGACAACCCAGGGCTACTTCTGGGCCCAGTAAAAGGTAATTATCCACGAGAGAAGGCACAGCCATGACCAGAGGATTTCCCTGACCTGGCCAGCTCTAAGGCCCTTTCCCTGGCTCCTCCGCTGACCACTGTGGTAGTAACTGGAACCTCCGTCTCAGCCTCCCTCCGCTACACTGACTCAGATCACTCACTCACCGATCAAATGCCCTGTCACTCAAGGCCCTTCACAGCACAGCCTTAACTTACCTTCCAGCCACTTCTGCACATACTCTGTGCCCCAGCAAGCAAAGCAGGGCTTCTTGCTTTTCCAAACATACCAGCTACTCTCCCATCTCCAGCACGATGGTCCTGGCCTAGCATCCCTCTGGATTCTGCCTCTGAAATCCCACTTGCCTTCCAGGGTTATTTTTATACACCAATTACTCCCTAAAGCCCCTCCACAGTTGTGGTCTCTGAAGGTGGATAAAACCGCCCAGCTGGTTCGGCTCAGTGGATAGAGCGATGGTTTGTGGACTGAAGGGTCAAGGGCACATGCCTGGGTTGCTGGCTCGATCCCTGGTAGGGGGTGTGCAAGAGGCAGCCTATGAATGACTCTTTCTCATCATTGATGTTTCTCTCTCCCTCTCCCTTCCTCTCTGAAATCAATTTAAAAATATATTTTAAAAAGTGGATAAAATTTTAGACCTTGAGATTTTAATTTTATCACTTTCAACTTATGTTTTAATATTGCATTATATAGAATAGCACTCTCTGAATAATGTTTTTTGCCGACAAGGACATGCTGAAGAATGTAAAGGCCACGGCCCTAGAGCCCTTCCACTCTTGGAGCATTTTAATTCTGTCCTGCCTTGCCGAGGGGAGCACCGGTTGTGTATAGGGGCTCGGAGCTCATTTCTATTTGCTGAATGAACTGGGCCCCAGAACAGCGGCTGGCAGGGTGCCTGGGCCCTCCCCACCTTTGTCCAGCTTGTTGTGGCTCTCCAGGAAGCTGAACCAGGCGCTGCCCGTGGTGATCTCCT